TTTAGTCCGTTATGAGAACAATGATCTCAGTATGATTTCTAGTACTGTCTGACACATATGGACTAACCGCACCTTACATCTTAAACCGTTTCTGTTCATTTCATTAGTTAATACAGCGAAAAAGTGGAATTTGATCTTACCATACCCTTTTTATTCATATCGCTGTAGTTGTTCAAGTTAGCCACAATGGAGAATGAAGTGGATCCTCCGCAGGTGATTGGATACGCCCTTGGACAGGCCACTCTAGAATCCTCCGCGCGATGCACACTGGGTTTTCGACTTTTCAAAGAGTTGCGTGCTCGACTTCCCATTGCATCTGGTCAAGGTTTGGAATGTGGCATGACAACTGCAGTGCATGAAGAAACACAATCTCTTATTGATGGGGGAATTTTGAAAGAACTGCAGCATGAAGCTAATTCTGGTTTTAGAGATATGTCCAAAAGTCAGTGTGAAGAAGCCGGAGACATTCCCAGCCAAACTAAGAGTTCGCATTCTGATCGCCCTTTTACATTAATGAAGTTTTTGAATCTCCTGATTACGCGATTGAATCTCCTAGATTCTTCTGATGAATCCACATGCATCCCCCCTGCACAACCTTGCATTGACTTATGTCAGATTGTTCTGACAGTGTGCCGTATGCAATTGAATTTTATGGAATCCTCACATTATGGTTTGGGTTCGTCTCCTAATGATGCTGCATTTGATTCGTCTGTTCTTGTGCGCCGTGATTGGATTGGACTACTTTACATGGTGATCGATTCTTTTTCCCAGGGTTTATGCTTTTTTAATTGTTTTCTCACAAGTCTTAACCAACGTGTACTAAACGGAGCTTGGCACCGCACGGGCAGTCTAGAAGACCGTGCCAAAATTCACGGGGACACTCTTATTTCGGATCTGGATAATGGGTTTGATTGTGGATCTTACCTATCTAGTCTCATGAACAATGTGTTGACCTGTATGCGTGAGTTACTTCTCGAGGGAAAGGTTCCCCTCAAAATGATTCGATCTGCCATTTTGGATACACTAATGATCGCCAGTGAGTTAGCTGCAGTAAGTAACATAACCTATCCGACATGGCCTGCGGAAACATATGAACTACCCGTTACCGAGTCAGGATCAACAGAATCAGATGGGGACGAAGTGTATGAATGCTACCAGAAGTTTCTTTTGGAGACGCATCAGGTGCCACCATCGTAGAATCTACAAAAGGAAAACATGAACAACGCACAGCAAACTTTGCACCGCTCTGTTATTCAAATGCGACAGCAATGCATGTATTTTTGTTTGTGTGATTTTGTTGACAGTTATTTGAAATCCTTGTACATTTCCGACTTTTGTGTTTTATCCAACTACAGTATGTATAATTATTTTATTCATTGTAATTGTTTCTTCGTCTATAGGCCTGTTTTTATGCATTTGTTGTCTGAGAGACATCTGATTCGAACGATATTACCAATTTTCTCGGTGGTTTGTTATTTGGTTCACCAGTTTCACTCCGTTCAGTAGTCCCTGGCGAAACAGACGTATTTTCCGGAGTGGTCGTTCTGCTTTATAAGATTAGCCAGAAAATTCTGCTGTTCCCCGTGAGTTTCATAATCCTATCGTTCAGTGGGTTTTCGCGACCTTCCCAATACATCCGTGGGAACTAAACATTTATCACGGTAAAACCATGACATGGAAGTAGCAGCTGCGTCAGGAAATAATCAAGGAATGTTCCAACTGCGACGCAACACCGGAGGACAGCAAACCCCAGTTAGTGAAATAATCTGTTATAAAAATGAACGAACTACTCACAGTACGTAACAGTAGCTTAATTGCTGGACGGAGTATTTCAAGGAACAGTTCCGTCAACCTGGTGCTGGCCAAACTTCTGTATGTTAAAGCTGAATCTCCTTGGACAGTGCCATGTTATTCTCATACAGAAGCGGAAGTATGGTCCTACCTTCAAACTCTGAAGAGCGAGAAAGAAGCAAGATCTGACGGGCTTCCTTCCACTCATCGAGATCGGGTGGG